TTTCGAAAAAAGAATGCACGGACGTAGGTACTTTTAGTATTCTGCTACCAGTACCAATTGACAGTGACATCATATAGGTGCTACACCAAATTTCAAAACAATATGTTAAGCCGTTCTGGAAATATTAAGAGAAGAATATTTTTTATGAACTTCAACACCCTGTATCTTTGTAAAGAGGTATTTTGGAACAAAGTTTTATTTGACCAATTAGGTATTTTGTTTTGACAAGAAAATTCGTTTAAATTTACACCTAATTATGATTAGATGTAAAATATATTATGTTAGAATACTAGTGATCTATTTTAGCTTAAAAAAAGTCCTCCTAACTAACCCCACTAATGTGGGGTTTGATACTAACTGGCTAAAGGGTGTCCCAAAATTCACGCAAGAAGTAATTTTGATAGGAAACACAGGTTTTTAATTAAAAATTGTAAATATTTTATTGGTTCATAAAGTATACGGTCTATGTCTGGAAAAGCATATTAGGTAAATGGCATCCACGGTTTTGCTAGCACATACGCACTTTTTTTGTCGAATTTTCCATGCCCGTTTTGCGTAAATGCGGCTGAATTTCGTTGATACAGCGCTCAATTTCCTCCTTCAATACGTGGGTGATCGATCGTAGGCTTATTGGCATAAACCTTACACTTCAAAAGACCCCATCAAAGAAAAACGTCCAATGGTGTTAAATCTCTTGATTTGGGCTGCCAATTCTGATAACTAAATCGAGTAGTAGGTACTTGAGTTGTTCCTCGGGCTCTATGACACATGTACTTATCTATATTCATATCTTGCAATTATTAGGCACAAAAAAATTGTCATGTTGCGATAGCGAGCACAATTAACTTTTATTGCCTCACCAGCCGCATCTTCGGAGAATAATGGTCCGATGTCCCCAGCCCAAAATTCACACCAAACAGTGACACATTGCATTTATTTTTCATCAATCACTAGTGGATTTTCTCAACTACAAATGCGACAGTTTTGTCCACTTGTTCCATAATCCATTCAACGTGGTCAGCAGGTTTCAATTCTTGAGTCAATTGAACTTTCTTGCGCCGTTTGTCGCCGCTTATCCAGGACGGCGTGTAAGCAATAAGGTGCGTTTTGTTGGATCAATTCCGGATTTATTGGAATGACATTTATCAATAAAACAATTCGAATTAAATCTGACACTTACAGATACTGAATGTCGACGGGCCATTGCTACACCAGCTATCTGCTACCTGTACCTTTATAATGTGAACAGGTGTATTTTGTTAAAATGAAAGTCCTTAAGCGCCCTGAAAAGTGAATCACAAAACATAATGGTGACATGCAGTTACAGTTACACCCATATACATACTACCTATAAGTATATGGTTACACCTAAGTAACCTCACAAATTTGGTCTCCCCACCACGTAATTCTAATAATTCCGTCTTAAACTACAGAAGCAAAAGTTACAACCGGATTCAAAATATCCTTGCAATAAAACGCCCATTCCGTATAATTCAATTCCGGAATCAATCCGACAAAATGCACCTAATAGTCCCACGAATGTTTTGTGTTGAACGATTTATTAAATCACTATTCCGATCATATTTTGTACTAAAGTTGCGAACTGTAGCTGCCAAACCTGTACAAATGGCGCGAAATTCAAATCTTGAAGTTTGGTACGCCCGATAAAATAATGCCCATAAGTACTCACCTGATTTATCTTAATAATAATTCTAACGATATAAACTAGTGGAAAAATAAAAGTCACAGTGGACCGTAGACGATTATAATGTTTTTAGAGTAGACTATTTTGTTTTAATCCCTTTCAGGTAATTAGGTAAGGCTAAGCGATTTACCACACAATGACATAAGTAACTCATTTTCTATTTGTTTTAATGGCAGATTCCTTTTTGGGTGGCTGGATGGATCTCAACATCTAACAGGTACACAACAGGATTCAACGGAGGCAAGAAAGCCACTGTTATGCCGTAATTTTCAAAAAGTGGTGAAGGCCAAACTTCACAATATAATTCCCAAAATTCAATTTAGTAGCTAACAAGGTGACACCTAAGGTGCGTTTTGTTGCATCAATCTCGGATTTATTGGATTCTTTAGAATGACATTTATCAATAAAACGATTCGAATCAAATCTGATATTAGACAGATGCCGAATATCAACGGGCCAATGCTACACCAGCTACCTAAGTAACCTCACAAATTTGATCTCCCCACCACTTAATTCTAATAATTCCGTCTCAAACCACAGAAGCAAAAGTTGCAACCGGATTCAGAATATCCTTGCAATAAAACGCCCATTCTGCATAATTCAATTCCGGAATCAATCCAACAAAACGCACCTCTATAAGTAGGATCGTATTCGATGCAAAGTAGAGCAAAAAGTTGTTGGTCTTTTATCAAAGGAAAATCGTGTAATCATTTTTAGATAAATCATTTCAAATTTAAAATGAAATTCAATGTAAAATCTGAAATACCGCTGCATACGCACTGTGTTCTGGTAGTAGCTGTAGTCGCCCAGGTGCATCGAGTGTACGAACTGGTCGGTTATACGTCAAATACTAACCTGGCGAGCTTTGCCGTCAATTAGAGAGCGCATCCAAAAAACAAGTAAACAACAGTGACGCGTACAAAGGTAAAATGTAGTACATATGTGGAATTTAGGAAACAAATTGGATTTATAATAAATTACATTTAAAATAAATATTTTATGAGAATAAACGAATTTTTGTAGGAACAAGGGTGCCAGACCTGAACTGGGATCGTCCCTTCATAATGTATAAAGAAATTATTCAATTTGTAAAACCCTTAAAAGCGTACTTCATTAGTTCCCTTGACAGGCAATGATTTATTACTTTGCATCGAATATGATCCTACTATAGATCATCTTGTAACCACAAGGGCCAAAGAAAAATGTATTTTACGGTTTTCTTTATTCCAATTTCCAATAAACAATTTAACACAAATTCAGGAGGTGAGAACTTTTTTATCTCACCGGCTTCTTCTATGTTTAAAACATGTCACACTCTACTCGTGCATGTGTTTTACCGGTGGCCTATCCCTTATAGTTTTTAATTTTATCATTTTATACATTCCGGGAAATATGAACCGTTACTTATCTTGAACACGTACCTATTGTAGCTTTCTAAATATGCCTTATAACCAGGTAATTTTTATTCATCCAGTAACCTTTTACAACTATTGCCATCCCCAGCTTCACTACGATTTTCAAACTCATGCGTACTGTGCTATCTTTAAGAAATCGTCGTCTAAAAAAGTTAAACCATGAGTTGAAAGGTAGGTAAGTCATTTTGATATAAATAGACAACCGATAAAATTAAAAACACCCTGTATTAATCTTCTCATGTTCAAGGTTGACTAAAATATTTGATCATAAGGAAGTATAATTAATGTAGTTAGCTGCTTATAACAGAAAAATTTAAATAAAAAAATCTTGTTGGCACATTTTTGACCTCATTTCGTTTTATAAAACTGTTTAATTTATTAGTTTTATGTCTCATGCGTCGTTAGCATCTGACAACAGAATAAATGTATATAGATGCTGAACAATTTCTATCCTTGAACAATGGCTTTCGAATAATGTTTTAATTTAATAAACATTACCTACTTGTGAACCCAGCATTATAATACTGAATGCTAGTTAGAATTAGAGATAGAGTTATTTATCTTGTAATGTTTTTATTATGTTTTTTTAGTAATCATTATTATTTATTTACAAAATGTTTTAGTTTTGACTCAATCCTGTGATTATTGTAAAATTTATTTAGTTTTTGTGCTTTAAAACAATGTGATTTTAGTTTTCGTTATCTTGTTTAATACACTTTATTTTAGTAATAACTTTTTGTATCTATCTCCTAAATTTATATAGAGTTACCCAAGAAGTTTTAGACAGGCAGTGTCTGGAAAATGCTTGGAAAATGGAAATGAAATTTGGCGTAGAACGGTAGATGTTTTTTATTATCAAATTTTCTTTCCAGTTTTGTATTTATATTAGAGGTTTTCTTGGACAATGGCAGAAATATTATCAGTTGAATAAAAATCATGTACCTATTACTCGTATTTTTAAACGTATGATGGGGAAATGCAATTTAAAAAATATAATTTCTATAACATTTATTTTGTTAACTAAATTGTGCTAACATAAATTCAATAAACTAAAATTAAGACAAGAATTTAAGAATAGGTACCTACCTTAGTTCCCGTCTTTATTATACATTTTATTTTCCATTATAATAATTTGTAAGTACCTACTGTAAACAAGGCTTTTGAACATGTAATAATAAACAGGGTATTCTATTTAAAATTTTGAAATTGATTTCACGTATGAAAATAATTAAATAAAATTGGATGAATTGATTGATTGAAATATAAACCAACAAATTGCATTTCCATTACCTACCGTAAACGCTTTTGAGAGGAGATAGGTATTGCCTGTGTAAAATTTTGTGAGATATATGTTTTAAGCTTCTAAATACACATCCACAATTTTGATTGGGTCCCCTTGAGAAATTTTTCTGCGGACGTCCATGTTTTACTTACTGTAGGTGTATAAATCACAAAAAAAAAATCTCATATTACAGAATACCTCTTTTATTTTTATTAGCTTGTCAGATATAATCTTTAAAGATAAATTCGTATCTAATATTTTAACGGTATTTACATAATTTTTCTAACGAGTATTTACACGTAGATAGCAAATTGATATGGAAAATTATACGCCTCACAAAATAATATGACTACTCTATCGCTGTAAATCATAAGGAAAAAGTCTAAAGTATGATGACAAAGAGAATTTTTTTTTAATATGGACAAAGACGTTTAACGCGTATGTATTTAATATTTATGCATGCGTGCAGTAATCGTTATCAATAATGATAAGAAATAATAAAGTAGTATTAATATATGGCGACATATTTTGATTTATTTTGTCGTTAAAAACATCCATATATTACATTACATATATTTGCTTTGTATGAAATACGGAATTAAAAACTTGATTTGTGAAACATCCGCGTCACCGATTCACGTGACTGAATCCATTCGGACGTTACGAAGTTAAGAAAATCGATTTTTATACAAGCCACTTCGCCTTATCTGATTCCTTACCATTTATAAACATATCGCACATGTTACCATATTTCAGTCGTAATAGAAACTTGGATAAAACATGGCAAAACAATCGGACTGGAAATCATCATTCGTTAAGAATTTAAAACTCGATCTTCGCACGAAAGAAAAAGCGAGACTAAGTGATGATCTTGAATACTGGATGACCAATTTACCAGACCAGATCAAATCCCTTCCTATTATATACTTGGCGATTCCAGGTAAGTGTATTTGGTACTTAACGTATTATTTACATTCTGTCGACTAAATGTAAAAATGCTATTTTAATTTTATCTCCTAGTTTCAAGAACTTTGTTCTCAGGATGTATTTTAATTCTTTAATTAAAGTTACTTTTGAACCCTCTAGTAAAAAGTACCTAATAATTCCTTATTTACAAATTTAATTTAAACATTTAAACAGTTATAATATATTGCTTATTATATGTCAAATAAATATCTACAATAACTTGAACTAATAATTCATTTTAAATTTGTTAAGCCCCGGCCTTATAATAAATTAAATGTCTTTTAAATTGAATATGTATACAATATGTTTTTATTTTAAAGTCGTCTTTAGTGAGATCATGAAATCGGCTCTAATACACTTCGCAACAAAATATTTCATCGAAATTTTGTAATTTTTCTAATGCGCATAGCTCCGTCAATTTTCATCGTATCAAGACAATTTTTTTTATTTTGTACGTAATTATTTGTATTTAAAATATACACAGGGCGATTCACAACTTATCCAAAAAAAATTGGGAATAGATGCGGCATGAGAAATGGAGTCAATTTCGTAAAAAAAAATTTTATAAAATTCTTATAGATTCCGAGAAAAAATTTATTGAAGTTGTAGTACACTCAACCACTACATAGCTGTACAACTGTACTAACTGTAGTCTCTAGCGTCATTCGCAATACGCGTGGGGAGCCATGTGACTCCTAATACTGAAATCCGACGTTGCGGTAGTTTTTACCTGTTATCTGTGGTATTTACAACAGTTTTTTAGTAGTTAGTGTCAAAAATGGCTTGCGTGTATAGCAACTCAGAGTTGATGGATATCGTTTTAATTTATGGTGAAGCAAGACAACATTTGTATTATGGTGAAGCATTTGTGTTATGGTGAAGCAAGACATCATTTGTGTTAGTTCGTAGAAAGTGAGTAAGACGGACCCAAATGTGTTTACACGTTAGTGGATAAAATTTTGAACAATTATGGTTGTAATATCGGGTATGTCAAATGATTTTATTATTTAAAAATACAAATTAATTTTATTCATTAATAAAGGCAAAAGTATTTGAATTTGCCGATATAAAATAGGTGCTATAAAATTCTATTTATTTCTTTCCTTGCGAAAGTTCTTGTCCGTTTTTGTCACACCGCCATGGCGGTCGCATTGTGCAGGTCGGGTTTTACAGTGGACCAGTTTCCAGTGCCGTGCAGAAGTGTATTTTTAAATCAATTTCGAACTGCTCTTTTTGATTTTTTCTTTACAAAATTGTATTTGTAAGGGTCCCCTGTACATCCAGATTTTTTTTTGGATAAGTCCTGAATCACCCTGTATAAATTTTAAGTACTTAATTATCATCAGCGTTATCAAACTAAAATAAAAAGTAANATATATATATGCGAAATGGATGCGAGTCAATGCCGCATCTCCATGTGCTGATAAAGCCCAAGCATTTTTTTTTTCTTAAAAAATTTGATGCTTGTCGCGTTACTTGGATCGCCCCGATTTTTTAATAAAATAATACATAGACCATCATAAAGTGTACATTCTAACAAGCAATTTGAAAAAAAAGTCAAGTCTACTGCTACTTTCAGGTGTCGTTCTCGGATAAAAACGCATTATGATCCCAAAATCATGTTCGTAGTTGTTTTCTTGTTTAGGTATCCTCGAGGGTCTCCTAAACGATATTTAAAATCAAATTAAATGTCAATAGTAAACAAAATCCTGTTCTCTTCGAAATTGGACTCATAGATCATTCATGGGTCATGGATTCATTTGTGTTTGTCTGATTCTGATTCAAAGCTGAGAACAAAAGAAAACAGTTAATGCAATCGGTGACTGGTTGAATAAAATATCGTGAAATATACCAATCACCAACCGGTAAACCAGAAATTTGCATTTTAATGTAATCTTGTTTTCACAATTTTTAAGTTAACCAAAATTTAAATGCCAACACGAAGGAAATAAAATTATTGTTGAAAACATAATTTCTGGTCACGTGGCTTATAATAATTTATGAATAAGGCTCTGTATATCAACTAGTGACAGAGATTCTGAAAGATTCATTAAAATCGACAGAAGTTCGACACCACTGAATATTTTGTATAGTCCATTTAATTCCCAATTGTAGGTATTTGAAAGATAAAATATCTCCTCCATTTTATTCCACAAACGTGTAATATTCGAGTATTATTTTAAACTAAAATAAGCTTGTTGAATAAAAAAAAACATAACTTCAAAACTGTTCGTTTCACAAAAAACATGTTACCTACATGTTTTTTATGACTTTTTTGTTGCAAATATAATTTTAGACTTTTAATGATTACATTGAATTTACAATTTTATTTGTAATAAAAAATTCATGTAGTTTTTCTTGTGAAACAAACGGTTTTAGTGATATTTTTAGACTAAAAACTCGAAAATTATTAGTTATTTGAATAAAATGAAAGAAACTTCTTTTCTTTAAAATACTGTTACAAGTCAAATGAACTTATCAAATTTTCAAAATACTCAGTACAATCGAAATCGAGGTTCATAATGATGGTGTCTCTCAGTATCTGCACCACTAACGAATATAATTGTAGCGTTTGTGCCCCTGCAATTAAATACAACCTTTACGTCGCTGCCAAATGCTTAAAACAATAGGCACCTTTAGTGATTAGGATAAACATAACCCTAGAAACTAAAAAAAAATACACTTAATTCTCAATATATTCTGCATGTACGACTGCCACTACCACAGATTCTTGTGATCAATTCAAAACAATTTTACTAAACTTACCTATCAAATGTAGCACACATTGTACTAGATACTTAAATATCGAAAAATAAGATAGATTTTCAATTAAAAGAATTGATAAATTGTAGCAGGCTGAGAATTTGAAATTTCGAGAATTTATAGTTCCTTGATACACATAAGCGTACCTAGGTTATATTTTTATAAAAAAATATTTTAATTTCACTTTTTACTTATTTTAATAGTCCTACATTGTAGGTATTTAAATTAAGTCGTATGTTACACTGCATGCAGGTTTGAATGAATTATTCTGTTTAAATATGTAACATTGTCGAAGAATTCATTTTATTAAATGCATGATCATTCATTAACTGACATCCACTTTTTTTCCTGTTTTAAAACAATAAGTTATATTAATTTTCTAGTACCTTTCACTGAAGCTGAATTGAAAATAACGAGCGTTCAAATAAAAACGTGGTCGAAGTTGGCTCTGACACATTGGACGTAAGGAGTGGCTTATAGCGACCAACTTAACCTCATTTCTCAACGAGCTGTATAGCAGCTGTCAGTTTCAATAACGTTAATGACTATATAACTTTATTTTAAAGAATAATCGTGATAACAATAACAAACAATTAAAGGAGCTGCGGAAAGTGTCCCCCTCCTTGTTCCAAGCACTTTTCACACCTGTTCCTCAAAGAATTAAAGACATTTTCTAAGATGCTCGGGGTATTATTAATTTCACGAATCTTGTCTATAAGTCGAGCCTGCAGATGGTTTAAATCAGGAATAGGCAGTTCAAAAATACTGTTTTTAAGGTAAGGCCACAAAAAGAAATCACACGGCGTAATATCACATGACCTCGGTGGAAATTCATGTTCAGCATTGAGACTTATTAGTCGATTTTGTAAAACTTCCCTCAACATATTCATCGTCTCGCCTGCCGTATGTGTCCTTGCGCCATCTTGTTGAAAGTAAAAGTTTGTAATTTCGTTTTCTTCCAGCTGGTTAACAAAAGGAGCGATAATTTCTTCTCTATACCTTTGCGCAGTAAGAGTACCATTAAAAAAAATAGGTCCATAAATCCTTTTTCGAGCACACCAAACTCCAATTTTTTGAGCGTGTAGAGGACCCTCGACAAAAAAGTTATCTGGTTTTTCAGAAGACCACATTCTCATATTCTGTGAGTTTACGTAACCACTTAAATGAAACCAGGCTTCATCAGAAAAAAAGGTGATATTATGAAGTTCACCGTAGTTGTTTAAAAACCATTCTCAAAATACAGCCCGTCGCGGAAAATCAACTTCATGAAGTTCTTGCTGACAAGTTAAATGATAGGAGAACAAACACAAATCTTTTTTTAACACTGTGTGGCAGGTACCGACTGATACTCCCACCATTTGTGATAAAACACGTACAGAAGTTCTTGGCGCATTTTCCATTATTTGTTGGACATTTTCTTTTAATTCTTCAGTCCGCTTTTTAGGTCGGCCGCTTCCTTCTTTTCTTGTTACACTGCCCGTTTCACGAAAAACATTAACACAACGCTGAACTCCACTGAAAAATTTTGTACTCAACAACGCCGGGAAATTGATTTTGAAATTCTATGAAACATTCCTCAATAGAATACTTCCATATTCCATCAATCTTGCGTGCATTTCTAAAGTAGGACTCTATGATAAACACTTTTTGTTCTTGAGAAAACACCATTTTAAACGCTTTTTAAAACGAAAATATTCAAATTGATAGCGGCGATATAGCGCTTTGACAGATGACGTTTAAGTTCATTTGCTATACGCTACGCCCTACGTCCAAATTTTCAGAACCAACTTGACCACGTTTTTATTTGAACGCTCGTTATATAACTTCCGATGTCTTCTCTTCTCAATCTTGTTTTTAATAATATCATGTTGATTTGAAATAATTAGCTATCTCTTAATAACTTAAAAAGGCAAGCTGCGAGAAAAATATATTTTTACAGTGTAGGAAAGTACCGATGGTCTATCACAAGTTACGTGAGAGCGATAAAGTAAGCCATAGAAATCCATGTGATAGACAAAGATGGCTATAACGAAGGCATCTAATAGTCAACGCCCATTTCGCCCTTCCACAAAGAAGATCCACTTCTTATTTGTGGAAGGGCGAAATGGGCGTTGACTATTAGACGCCTTCATTATAGCCATCCTTGTCTATCACATGGATTTCTATGGCTTACTTTATCGCTCTCACGTAACTTCTGATAGACCATCGGTA